ATATATCAATTTAAAGGTTAACTATTAGGGAATGATCCCATGATATCAATTAGAGGGTAAAGCAAACGTAGTAATTATAAACTAATTAAAACCTCGAGTCAATGACTCATATATAGTTATAACGTTATACATATTTACCGAAAACCCCCAGACCGGAACTCCGGACATATAAGTGTGACCTATCAGTGTACTCAGAAGACAGTCCTCATTATAATTATAATATCTAATTGAGGGTAAAGCAACAGATGGCAGCACCAGACAACCAAAAGACTCATTTTCAATGTATACGATACAAACAATAACCGAAAACCCCTAAACCGGAACTCGTGCCGGGTCATTTTGTCATGCCAACGCATAAAGGGGTAATCAGAGTATATAATGATAAAACCCAATTAAGGGTAAAGCAAACGTGCTAGCTATAATTAATTTAATAAGAAACCTAACATACATGTATTAACTGTTATTTCGGGAAGAACAACCGAAAACCCCCAGGCCGGAACTCAAGCCGAGTCTGGGTACTATACCAACACATAAAGGGGTAATCCGAGTATACACTGATATAGTCCAATATGGGGTAAAGCAAGATCACTGACTAGAATAGATTAATTAAATTACCGGATTCTCATATTTTTACTCACACTTCAGAAACAATACCCGAAAACCCCCAGACCGGAACTCGACCGGTGACCATAGGTCATATTATACTGTCGTAGGATAGTGTGTGCATATAATTAAAATTAGGGATTTAGGGTAAAGCAAAGTTAATGACCACAATAAATTAATTAGTTTACTTGTTTTGTATATTTTTACTTATACTTCGGGAACATTACCGAAAACCCCCTAGACCGGAACTCGACCGGTGCCCATAGGTCATACCGTACTACAGCAGGATAGTCAGAGTATATAATTATAATGAGAGATCTGGGGTAAAGCAAAGTTTGGAGTATTGATTAATTGATTATAATATACCAACAATAGAAAATCCATATATGCTATTAGTTTTGACCCGAAACCCCGTAGACCGGAATTCGGCCAGACCAACTAAAACCCACAGTACATACGAGGGGTCATCCCTTTATAAAACCATAATATCGTTAGAAGGGTAAAGCAAGGTCTATAGCACTAATTAATTAATTAGATTTGCATCTGTGCTTATATTTCCATATACAACGGGAATATTGACCCGAAACCCGTAGACCGGAACTCGAGACCACTAATTAAGACCGCTTAGGTTGAAGAGGTGATGTCCACCTATGATACCGTAACCTCATATTTAAGGTAAAGCAATTAGTGTAATTATAATTAAAATGTATATATGTTGTGCCAATGCCTTCATATGAGATCCTATGAGGCCTTAATGTAATTCAATGTATCTTCATGTATAGCTTTAATATCACGTACTGTATGTACGGCTATACAGAGAATACCGGCACATATCCACCAATTATATAGAACTTATAGAGCTAGTTTTCGTGCATTGCTTCATGCATTGCCTCATACATTACACCATGTATTGCTTAATGTAACGCTCTGTATATAGCCACACATATTGAATTATACATTGTTTGGGCACTGCCACACTATTGTAGTGCATTGTAAGCTACTCCTACAGTCAATGAATAAGACATCTAAATTCACTCATTGGTCTAAACAATAGTATGCGGCAATGCTAGAAGCATACGAATGTTATACGTTTTGAGTCTCGAGAGAGGGGTATAAAAAGCCGTGCACAGACCATTTTCGGAACGCTTTCTTTTAACCTCACAGTCCGTCTCCACGCTGGTCAGATCTTTCATCAGTTTTAGCTTATTTTCAGAGAAAGTCTTAGAGTTTTTGAGTTAGAATATAGGTTCAGATTTCGTCTTTAACTTTTCCGATATCTTTTAAGACTACCGGCTGGTCAGTGGTTTTTAGTCCGCTTCGATAGCTGAGTCTTACCGTCTGCTAAATCCCGTCGACCGGTCCTGTCAAGCATTTCACGGTCACGGCTTCACTTGTCATAATGTAAGTGTTGTAAACTATTTCTTATTAATAAATGTTTAGGCAAAGTATATCCAATGCGTGCAGTTATTATCTTATTATAACTATCATTATTGAATGTATCTATTTATATGCGGCCCGCATGGCCACCTTGTAGTCTTGAGATTACTCGCTAAGTAATTGCTCGAATCGTATGCTCAGGTCAGACCAACGAACAGGTCACTGTATAAATCCTCGGATATATACTTTGATTGTTAAGTATTGGACCGAGTCCAATGTTAATCAAACATAGAGCCCAGTGTTTGATTATTTTATCCGCTATTGTGCTTTCGGCTTAGATGTGCACTTTATATAAAGCTTATTTAATTATCAATATTTATTATATGATTATCTGTGTAGCCTCGAATAGATATGTATGGCAAACACTTTTGATCTAAGGTTTGAATATACTGTTGATTGTGTCATCTCGAATAAATATGTATGATGATCACTTTTAACTAATGGTCAATTATGATACCTCGAAGACATATGTATGGTATTCATGATAACCATAAGGTTTTGATGTTGTACTTGTCTTGTCTTGTATTGTCCTGTACTTATTTAAATTTGATGTTATGGTCTCCGAAGGTCTTGACCATATAAATGACCAACACGTTTGATGTTAGTATTTACACGGTGATTGTGTTTGAAGAACCTCTAATAAATACGTATGGATCACACAATTATCATAGAAGGTCTGGCAGTAGTCCGAATATAAATATCTGTCGTTAGAAGGGGAACGCCGCTAGCACCCGTATGAATAGCTCGTACTTTTAAACCTTACCTTTCTCTCAAAGTCCATTTCCACTATTTAATTATATTAGTTTTATTATCGGCTACGCAGTGATAACACGGTAGCCCATGATTGCATGTTACTAACCCACTTAACCTTTATTGTGTATATAAAATAAGTCTCCTTCAGAGACAAATAGACGGGTTTTCAAACTACGTCGAGAGTGTGTAATAAGCCCTTTAGCAAATTAAGTCTGACCAGACCGAGAGCCAACGAAGTCTTCGTAGCGCAAAAGCTACCGGAGTCAAGTAAGTGCGGTAGGGAATTAGAACCTCAGACACAAGCATTACAAGCAATACTCGAGCGACGAGTATTGCTTGATTAAGGCCGATTGGAGCACATCGGCCGCGCCTAATAACAGCGGTACCGCAGAGAGACGGTCGCCGTCCGTACCGCTGAGCGTATAATAGCGGCACCGCAAATGGGTGATAGCCACCCGAGCCGCCGAGCCTATAAAGCGCTTGCGATCACTACCCGGCACTCTCGCGTCGAGTGTACCTAACGGGTAGCCATTTGGGTAGAGCGTCAAAAAAGAACGCGAAGGGAACTCACAGTAAAACCGTTGCTCATTGTTTGAGTCACGCGCTAACTAATTGCATAATTAACCCCTGTAATTAAACATCATTTATGTACGTTTTATACGAGGGCGGTTTTACACGTGACAATATTCATAGATTATAATTAATATTAATTATAACATTGTTATGCAACATGAATATTATCAAATTTGTTAACTAATAAACTTTATTTTGGCGTTTTAATAACTTTTTAATTTATTTGTTAATTTTTTTTATAAATTTAAACAAAATTTTAAAAGAAATTTAATTTTATCAAAACACAAACAGTGTAATAAATTATTACTACTTGAGCAAACTAGCTAAATTCCCAACCCTGGTAATAATATACAAATTGTGTGTATTTAATGTGAATTTACATTTTGAATACTCTGTGTAATGATTGCATTATTGGTTGTTGAGTTAGTGATATAAATAAGGGTCAGATTAGGTCACTTTAAATCGTTATTGATGTCCAGTATATTCTGGCAATTTGTGTACAGTTATTGATTGTGTAATTGTCTGCAGTTTTATTAATTGTGTGCATTATTTAGATTATGGTAATTGATGTGATTTAATTAAAATAGTTGATGTGATTAAGATTAAGCTGATATTATTATAAAATAAATATTTAGTTAAATATAAATTGTAATTTAATAATAGATAAAAATTATCTATACCTTTAAATATTATAAACATATTTACTTATTTTTAAAATTAATATTTAAGTTTATTATTTAAGTTAATTATACTTCCATTGTATCCATAAAAATCGTATCTCTATAAATTTCTTGGAAACTGCAATAATTTTATTGATGATTATAAAACCATCATATGATAAGAAATTAGAAGTTCACAATTTAAGAACATTTTTATCATGGTTATAAATATTACCAATGGTAATGCAATAAATACAACTGAAAAACATAAAATTATTTAGTAATTACATGGTAAATACGTTATATATCAAGATTAATTAAACTAGGTTACTGATTTAAATTAACAGAATATAATTATTCAAAATCTTACCACTTTAATTACATAAAACCTTACATAAAGTACTTTATATATCAGGTTATTATTATATAAAAGTAATATAAAAATAATTAAATACTATAAATACACAGTACAATTAAATACTGTAAATGTAAATACTGTACTTTATATTGATATAAAAATATTACAATTATAAAGAAAAATATTTTATTATCAATTATCTTTTAGAAGTATTACATTTATTAGATCATAAGTGTCACAAGTTTATTGAATTGATATAAAATTTATAAACATACATTTTAATTTTTAAATATTCAAAATTAATACATTTGCTGACAATATAATCAACCTTGGAACAATATAATTATAAATTATATTATAATATTATAAACAAACTTAGGAACATACAAAAATTTTAAATAATAAAATTAAATTGATAAAACTGTCTAGTTCGTGGAATGTACTGAACTTTTATATCAGATACCCCCAACAAAGTAACATACTATCTAGGTGGTCAAATTAATTCCTATAAATGAATCTGATCGAGAAAATAAATTATATTTGTATTATAAAATCCTACAACTTAATATACCGTATTGTGAAAAGTACCATAACAAAATAAAGTTATGGCAAAATTGATGTTGGTAATTTTGTTTACCACATACATAGTGGGGTCGCTTCAGTCACCGACTGGGTTCGCAAATGTTAACCAAATGGTTGATTACATTAACAGTTTGGACACCACATGGAAAGTATGAACACCGCCAATAAAAAATGCACCACATATTAAATGCCATATAAAGTAATCATGCAACATTTTATATAAATTGTCTACACTAATAGGCGACCACCCAGGGTCAATCAAGCGGCTTACACATGGGTCAAGTGGAGAATGATGGCCACATCCTACCGGCCGGTGACCAAGCTTTTGACCCATCCCTGGCCATACCGGAGTCATTTGACTCGCGTAAACAATGGCCAGAGTGTCAGTCCATCAAAGAGGTCAGAGACCAGGGATCATGTGGTAAGTTATATTGATACTAACTATTTAGTTAAAACAGGTTAAGAAATTACCCACGTATTCAACATGATTAGGCTCGTGCTGGGCGTTCGCCGCCGCGGAGGCCATGAGTGACCGCATATGCGTGGCGTCGGGCGGCAAACAACAGGTGGAGATCTCGGCCGAGCATATACTGGCCTGCAGTGGGGCCGGCGATTGCCCGTTCGGCGGCTCTTCCGCCGGTGCCTATCAGTACTACATATCCGACGGTATTGTGTCGGGCGGTCTGTACCAGAGCCACGTCGGCTGTCAGCCCTACAGCCTAAAGGGCTGCGAACATCACGTTACCGGACATCTGCCCCCTTGCCCTAAGGAGGACGACCCGACCCCTAAGTGCCAGCACAAGTGTGTCGCCGGCTATAACGGCACCTATCAGTCGGACCTACACTTTGGTAGCCGTGCCTATAGTTTCAGTAATAGGAATGAGGAATTACAGCAGGATATCATGAAGAATGGCCCCGTTGTCGCCAGTTTTACCGTGAGTGATCATGATTTAAATGATGTGTATATAATTAAAATTATTATTTAATTATAATAGGTTTATGAAGATTTTCTAACTTACAAGTCCGGTGTTTATAAGCACCTGACCGGTGATTATGCCGGTCGTCACGCCGTGAAGATCATTGGATGGGGTGTGGAGTCGGGTGTGGACTACTGGCTGGTGGCCAACTCGTGGAACCCCGATTGGGGAGACAAAGGCTTTTTCAAAATTGCCCGTGGTCATAATGAGTGCGGTTTTGAGCAGCAAATAGTTGCCGGTTTGCCCAAGGTGTAAATTATTTATAAGATAATACAGTATTTGTTTGAAATATAATATTGTCTAAATATACTAATATTTTGTTACTTGAATTAAACCACGCAAACTAATCAAATATATTTTTAAAAGTGTTTTTATTTAATTATTTTAATATTAATTATTTATTTGTGATGACGTGACAAATTATGGACTTTAACATATTTTAGGCTCGACAAAATTATCTTAATCATTAGTATCATCACCTTACAATTAATTTTTAGCTCGTTTTAATACCCTTATATTTATAGTTAATCATATGTTTTAGTTGCAAAGGTTAAGAGACTTAACACTTTGTCAATTACTTTGTGGCAATGAAAATTTATATTATCATTAGTTTACCTACAAATATACTGAACATTGATGTGTATAAGTTCTAACTTATCAAGCACATTTATGTTTGACAAAACAAATAATAAATGACATTGATCAGATTAAAGGTATCAAAAATAATATATTTTTCACATGCCACCTGGAGTGTTTTATCTAGTTAAACGTCAATTTATCATCTTATTTCTAACTATTCAAAGAAATTGCTATACAATTGTTTATTATTTTACTAAAGTATATTGCTAAAAAATAATTTAAATTCTTTATTTACACAGTTTAATTAACAAATTTTATTTTATGCAAAACATAAAATGCAATGGAATGATAAATATTTATATAAAAAATAAATATTAATTGTAGTTTGTAATTAAAATTAACATAGCTCCTCACTATATTTTATCATGCAGCATTATTGTTAATTGATAAGTTCACACAAATAAACAGATATGATTGAGAAAAACTTACCCCACGGAGTGTTTTGAACAGGTATATAAACACCGTGCATGTAAACTATTTTTAACACTAGTTAAAGTGTACTTACTTACTACTCCACATCTCACCAAGCTCAAACACAATGGGCAAATTAATGCTGGTAGCGTTGTTGGCCGCGTGCGTAGCCGTGTCATACCCATCGCCCCATGGCTTTAAAAGCATGGATGATATGGTAGACTATATTAACGGTTTGGACACCACTTGGAAGGTAACCAAAAAACATAAAATTTTTATTAATTTACAAAATAAGTTATACTAAAACAATATATTTGTCAACAAAACAATAGGCAACAAAAAACTTTGATGCCCGATACCTGGACACCGTTGGTCCCAATTTGGGTCTCTTACCCCGCAATCCGTCATACGTTGCGGGCGAAGCACCCGCTTTCGACCCATCGCTGGCCTTACCTGAATCGTTTGACTCGCGTCAACAGTGGCCCGATTGCAAGTCCATCAAAGAGATCAGAGATCAGGCCTCGTGCGGTAAGTGTGTCACAGTGTTTACCAAGTGCTAGAACTTAAATATATTATTTATAATCACCATGTATTAAACCTACATGTGCCTATTTGAACAGGTTCGTGCTGGGCGTTTGCCGTGGCCGAGGCTATCAGCGATCGCATATGCGTGGCGTCGGGCGGCAAACAACAGGTGGAGATCTCTGCCGAGAACATCAACGACTGCAGCGGCGCCGGCGGCTGTAACGGCGGTTTCATGGAGGAGGCCTACGAGTACTACGTGTCCGACGGCGTGGTGACCGGCGGTCTGTACAAGTCCAACGTGGGCTGTCAGCCCTACACCATTCCCGGCTGCGAGCACCACGTGTCGGGCCCTCTGCCCGCCTGTTCGGCAACAGTGCCCACACCCAAGTGTCAGGAGA